GCTCGTCCCCTTGCTACTACACTCCGTTCGTTATTAATTCGATATTTAATAATTGCGATGATCGATCTCTTCTTCCTTCCTTTCAACTTTCGATTCACACAGATATCACACAGCTTCTTCTCGCGCACTTGTTCTTATTTATTCGGGTCGAAGCTCCTCCACTCGTCGAAAATCAATCCGCCGTTTACTCTTTTTTCTCTCTCGCGAAAGAGCGTTACAGATCCCGAGGCAGATCCATATTATTACCGCGTATAGATGCGCGAGGAACTCGTTCGTCGATACTCGAGTCGCGATAAACGGTGGAGAAGCGGACGCGTCGTCGATCCGATCGACGAGGGTCGCTGAAGTGGACTGGNGGAGTGGACTGGCGGAAAGGCGGCACGGTCGAAGGCAGCACGCAGGTGAGCCTGAGGGGGTCTGGCTGTGCGTCCAGTTTATCGTGGATCTCTCTCTTTCTCTCTCTCCTTCTCTCTCTTTCTCGCCTCGGACACCATTCTCCTTCTCCATCTCTATCTCTCTCTTCCTCGCTCGATTCTCGGGCATACATAGGCTGCCGAGATATAGATAGGGGCGCTGCCTTCTGGAAAGTGGGCGTATCCTCGAGCGGGGCCACGTGACCGTGTTTGGGCGGAGCCAGCCAATGGGAATGGAGCCTGCGCGTCCGGCGTCCGTAGCCTCATGATGGATCACCGAGCTAAATTTTATTTTTCCTACGTTCTTTTTATCTGGCACGCTGCAGTTGACACTTATCGCGGCTGGTAGAGGTAGTCGGGTATTATATCTCGTGGTGCCCACCTTCCAGAATAGCCCCAGCCCTCGCCTCCTATCCTGTATTCCCTTCGAAACGCCGTATTCCAGCATCCTTCTTCCCCTTCCCTCTTTTTCTCCGTCCACGAGAAAAAGAGGAAGAGAGAAAGAGAGAGAGAGCGAGAGAGTTTCTCTTCTCCCTTCTCCACCGTTTTTCGTTTTTCACACCGGCTCGCTCTCTTCTTCTGTGTACACACGCGTGTCTCCCACCTGTCCTTGCCCGGGACACGGGACACACCGGTGCCGTCTCTCCTGCACTTTCATTAACGCCTGACGTCTGATGGGTTAATTACGGACCACGGATAGAAACCACGTCGTGAAAGTCGACCGTGTCCGGGAACCTGTGTCCTGACCAGGTAGTTCTAAAATAGATTCTCGAAAAAAAAATGGGAAATTTCTTTGTAACGTATTATTCTTAATTTTCTACGTTCGCGCATCGAAATTAATGCAAAAAGTTAATTCTCGTTCGAATATTTTATTGTACGTACATATACGAGTTAGAGAATTTTTAAATTTTACAAAAGAAATTAAAAGTTACGAGAAAAAGAAAAATCGCGAAAAATGTATCATTCGTATTGCGTAACAGTAACGTTTATCTCGAGGAAAAGGAGAAGGAGAAGATCTGGAGGAATGGATGGAGGAACTTGTGACGGGCCCATGGGACGTCTCGTACCCCATGTGGGTTCAGTGACAGGATGACACATTCCGCCGTGAAAGTTTTAGAAGAAAGAGAGAGAGAGAGAGAGAGAGGCCTGGCCCTGTATCAGCGGTTCAGTCAGAGAAGCTTATATCGGGGGCGCCACCTGCGGCCACCCGCGACATCCTGTCCCGCGCGGATCAGATCAGGAAATCTTCTTCATCTTGATCGAACTTCTCATAGTTCTGATTCTCTCTCTGTCGGCCTCTTTCTTTTTCACTTGAACGCACTCTTCGTACATCCGTCGTACGGAGGCTGCATACGTCGATATTCGTTAATAGATGGACGGATCGTTCGATTTTCGCTCGTAAAATTCATCGTCTTCTTTCAATTCAGAATCTATCTGGAAGAGAGATATTGGTAAGCTTCGATCTTTTTTCCTCCTCACTTTGACTTTATACACAAGCATAATATAAATAATACATACACATAGTATAAATAAGCGTTGTTCGAATATGCAAGCAGAGAGGTTAGGATATTTCAAGCGGAAGGTGGGGGCTCGATGATTCACGCCAATTTCCAGCCACTTTTAATGGAATTTTCCGGGATCAGACAGGGGGTCTAATGTCGAGGATAAATATCAGCGGCTCCACTCTTTGGACACGCGTAAACTTTACCCCCGGCTAATCCTCTTAAACAATTACAAACCAGTCGATCGGTCTGGTACGTATCTTGGCCGTGGCGCCACGCTGCGTTTTGACGTGGGATGAGGCGGCACCTGCATTGTCATGCTAAACTTGGTCTTGGTCGCCTTTTATCTGCGACCAACAACATCCTTCCCCTCCCCTCCTCCTCGTTCTCGAACTCGCTACTCCCAAGTCCGAATTATTTTGCCACGAAGGAAGAAAGAAAGCGCGATTCGGTCTTACGATTGAAACATTCGTATATTTTGTTTCGTTATTCGCATATAACGAGCAAATTGTAACAATTTAATCCTGAAATTGCATATATTCTTGATATAATATATCTCTTTTTGCTTGTTAAATTCTATTTTCGAAAAAGTGTCATGTAATTTCGAATTAATTATTTAACAACGTTTATAGATTTATTACTACATTTTCTCTTTTCATTTGGACGAGTTTCTAATGCCGTTCGACGGTATTACAGATATCGAGGCAAGGTGTATTCTTCTCTCGAAGAATAGTTGAACCTGACGTTTCATTTCAAGCGTCACGTTTATAGTCGTTCAAAAGTCGATCCTCTTGTCGCTCAAACATCCACAGTCACAACAATCCGGCGGGTGGTTGCCGATGGACGGACAGCTGTCCATCCGGACAAGAGGGATGGTTGCCATTCCGCCAAAGAGGTTTGTCTTCATTCAAAGATATCGGGCCCTATTATTCGCTCGATCGTCTCTATTTTGCTCGAGCAACGAACAGATAAAGCCTCGTTCCTCGATGGGCGGAATTTGGACGGGAAGGTGGCTCCCTCGAGAAACTCGCGCCTGCTTCCTGCTCCACCCCGATCCTCTGACCAACTACTTTCGCAACCGAGTTGTTTCCTTTTCTATTTCACGCGAATGAAATTCCTGTCTTCTGTCCTCGTTCGCGGATTACCTCGTGATTCTAATTGAAGGTCTATTTTATCGACTGGAAATTTATATATATATATATAAGTATAATCGTAATAAAATTCTATATTGAAACAACTCGCGGACTGAAAGAATTTAAAAAGTTCCAAGCATTTAATTGGATATTTATTATTTTACAAATGGATAATGGAATTCTATATTGTAACAAATTTTAAGAAAGAATTTGAAAAATTCCAAGCATCTGTTAATTGGATATCTATGATTTCGCAAGTGTATATTGTAATGGAAAATTGTAACAACCTGCAGATTTTAGCTGAAAGAATTTAAAGTGTAATTCTCTAACTTAAACAGTTACTTAATTCTACGCAACTATTTCGTAATTTGAAATAATTCTCTCTTTCGACTCGTCAAACCTGAATGTAACCTCGAACCACTTTCCACTTTTCAGATTCGCAATTTCCCCCCCCCCTCTCCCCCTCTCCTCGTAACATCTTTCTCCATCCTTTCTCCTTCCTCCTTTTCAACACCGTCCAGATGTTTCCCTTTTCTTTTTTTTTTTTTTTTCACG